TAATAACTTGTCTTGTACTTCGCTAGTCAGTTTTTTCATTCTTCTAGACAATTTGTTACCAATTAACTGATATCAGGGGATGGCGACTTTTTTGGCTTAAAAGGCGTACAATCCACTATTCGATCCTCCAACCGTATGAATGGTAAGCAGCGCTACTTGCCACTATACCACTTACTTCTCTACAATCGTAGGTGTAAGTAAATCAGTATGAGTGTATAGCACTTGCGAATTGCCCTTTGACTGGGCGAAAATCCACCCACTGGCTCCGGGCCATCTGTAATTAATTAAACAAATGATTAGAGTGGAATGCAAATCAAGAACGACCATCGACATTGAAAGATGCTTGTTACGAAATTTGCGTAGTGCACTGATTTAGGCGCATCTAACGCATAAGAAAATGCCGAGCATTTTGTCATTGGTCCTTCCATTTCATAGGGTCTGACCGGGGAAGGCTTGAACTTCTCAGAAGAAACTTTGAAACATCGAATGTAAATGAACACAGATAAAAAAAGGTGGCTACGAATATGGAGAACAAAAGTGCAACCCGAATAGCAAGTCGTGAGCGGTCAAAGTAGGCAGGAAGTGTAGCGTCAGTATATTTGGGCAAGCTAATTATCTGCATGAAAATTCCCAATTTTCTCTAAAACTCTGCCTGTAGGGGAAAGTGTTAGTCATCACGAATACCTCTTAATTTCTGAAACAGAAAAAGTCTACCGCAAATTTGTTCACTCAACTTACTTTTTTTGCTAACTTGAAAGCAGAGGGCGGGATTAGGCAACCAATCCAATCCATTCTATCACACTGTGCGTAATTACGCACCCACAGGATGACAGCGCGCACGTAATTCGAAAGAGCGCGGTAGGTCGTCGGGTTAGTACTGTTAGCCATCGCCACCTGGCGTTAGATATGACCGGGAGGTGGTGCGTGGCTGGTATAGGGCCTGAAATCAGCTGGCTCGATTGCCAATCAATTGCTGGCAGGGAATCAGCAGTAGTTGGCAGTCCCAGAAACTCGTTCGGACCCCTCCTGCTGTGCCCGCCCACTCTAGTGATGTCAGTGATAGCGTTCTACGTGACATTATCGGCAAATTTCTTCGTTTTTTCTTCACTGTCGTTCCATATCACATCTCTACACTCAGTTTCAAGCGCCATAACACCCTAATCGAGCCCGACCTTTGCCTTTGCCTTTATCTGCTCACAGGTAGCTTGGAGTGTTAAGATACCAGTAATAGTCTCTATATTTGTGATCACCAGTCTTGACCCTTACAATTTACTTCGTCTTCCAACCGTGGTTCCATGGGGAGTTGAGAGCCTTGTCCTGGTTGCCCTTTGACACATCCATATTTTTCAGATCTAGGGTTGCGTGTAAATTGTACACCCTCGCACTGCGTTGGCACAGAAGTGTAAAAAATGATAACTCGAGTCGCATTGATGAGTTTTTGAGAGCACTGCTCATTGAATTGCAACATTTGAACTACAACAAACGTTTTTAGTTTTAGGTGACACAGTGGCCGTGTGCAATCCGTCATCCGCCTTCAGGGGGCAATCACAACATGTCTGGAATGGCTTACAATCATGTTATTAGCTTCACGATCATTTTTGTGTACAGTGCGCTATACGAAGTTGCCGCCACAAAGCTAAAAGCCTTTAAAGGCAGCGGTTACGCTAGGTTTAAATGTGGTTTGGAGGGGACGAGGGGGTCCTCAATAGTACATCAGTGGCGAAAAAAGCAAAGAAATCCGTCAAAAATAAGCAAAATAGTGCCCCTTTGATTGCCCTTTCATTTTCGATCATGGATGAGCGACGGTAAAGACTGAGGTTGTTCGGACGTGTTAACCCCGATAGCTGCCATCATGCCAACAAGCATAGTGTTTCGATTGATAAGGCATAACATGGGCAAGATGGAAGATACAGCCGCTAGATGGGAAAAGATCATCCAAAATGAAAAGCCAACAGCAATCAGTCCATCCAGATCATCAACAAAACCAGTGGGCGGGGCGGCGCATGGGGCGGAAGGGCGCAATGGTCCTGCTCAGCAACCACAGCACTGTTCGCAGTGGAAGCGCCACACATCGCTTCCTTGGCGGCCTGCTAATTGCTCTGTGGGGAGCAGGTTCTCCGCAGATGTGAAAATTCCTTTCCGTACCTACTTCCTTTAAGAGCAATGTTAGAACAAAGTCATCATCGATCAGGGTATTTACCAGTATAATTCAACTGTCTTTCTAACACCTTATAAAAAAATGTAGGGTCGCTCGGAGGATCTCCTATTTTGATACCTTTTTGTTAGATGCTTTATTCCGAATCAATTCCCAGCTAACTGGCGCCATTTTGCATTTCATTGAAATGTGTGATTCTGAAGCTACTGTCAATATTACACTGGCTGATCTTTGACCGTGGAGCAGCTTATTTACTATTGAAATTTGAACAAATATTCAAATGATTATAACTTTCTTCAAATATGACGAATTTTCAATCTGAAAGCAGATTTGGAGTTTTGTGAAGAGCTCTTTCTAATCAGTACTGAAATTACAAAAATTTATAAGAAATAACAAATTTAGATCAATTAACGAGGAAAATTCGATGAGCACGAGTTTTTACACTTTCCGAAGCCATAACTTGCTTCATTTTCGTCAAATCTGAAAAGTTAATACGTCATACAAAACTAGAAGATTTGCTCTATCAAACGGTTACTAAAACTGCTAAATACGTCCACTATTAAAAAATGGCCACGTTGAGGATTTTTGCCCGAGTACCGCCGAAAGGTACTTTTTCGCTGCATTGGCACTATTCAACGACTATAGCTCCTTTCAGGGCGATTACATACTAAAGTAGGAGCAGATTCGAAATCCTCGTGCTTTTCTCTTTCCAAAAAGTGTAAAATTGTTTAGCGGTCTCAACTTTAAAGGTTACATGCTTGTGAATTTGACGCTGAAGGCTGCGTTTCTTGTTGAATAGTGTACTCCTCCCTGTAATTTCACATGAACCCTTTCAGAATCCTCTTGTTTTTCCTGAATTGAGATTCTTTGTGCAGAGAGCCGTAGGCGCCGCGTGCTTTACATCCCTTCGGATTTGAGGACTCACTTGAAAGAAAATATCCCTTGGAAACGTGCGAATTTCGGATTCTTTAACTTGTGTGGTGATAAAACACTGAAGTAACTAAGAATTGCTAAGCGGACACCTCTAAATCACGAAGATTTTGTGTGAATCAATTGTTATTGGAAATACTCTGGCCTGGCATCGACTCGATCCTTGATGTTTGTCCTCCGACGATGATCCTACTGTATCAATCGGGCCCGATCTCTTCCCCCAGCGGGCCAATACGACCCCCCCCCCTGTGACCTGTCGAGGATTCCTCAACGCACGCTTGACCCTGTGCTTAGTGTGTCGGTTTGTCGGTGTGTGTGTGTGTGTGTGTGTCGTTCTGTCCGTCCGGACCGACCGCTCACAAAACCAGGGAGTACGAAGGGCACACGTGATGTTGATGTCATGATCATGATAACCCACAGCGGCTATATAAACACCGATCGAGCACACTCAGTCTCATTCTACATGGTGCTGCCGTGGCAGCCGGATGAGCGGGGGGGGGGGGGGGGAGAGGGGTAGAGGGAAGGGGGCAAGGAAAGGGAGGCTGGAAGGGAGGGAGGGGAGGGGAGAGAGAGGAAGGAAGAGGAGGAGAAAAGGAGGCGCTGTCATGCGCCGGAGAGGAGGGTATAAGGAGGGGGAGGTGGGGGAGGAGAGACTGAGAGAGAACGACCGTTTTTAAGAGTAAGGTCTATATTCATGTTGACGTATTATTCTAACCTGATATGGTGATTGTGATAACACCCAGAATGGCTACAAAACAGGGCACCTCTGATTTGCAAATGCACATTTAATAAGCAACGAATTGGATCTAAGGAGATGGTATGGGGTAGCAGAGTGTGTGTCTGTGTTGATTTCTCGTTCGAGTTACCTCGGGCTCCTCTGCGAGCGGACGGAACGTAGTGAGCTTTATTTTCGTTCCTTTCATTTATACGCGCAATTGGATGCGAGTTCAAGAATAATGCCCGGATACTAGTAACACGGCCTCTCATCCTACAGTCATAGGATGACGTTTGAGTGCTCGAGAAAATCCCATTTGTCGTATTTTTGTCCCTCAAATAATTTACCCTTTGGACCATGAGCCAGGTACAGACGAAAAAGCTATGCGAGCCAATCCACTACGCGGGCAGCTGGAATGTAAATAATTAATTCGAGGATGGAATCAGTGTTCATACCAGATGAGCGGTAGAACTCTCCACCTGTGTGTCTGACATCCAACTGAGGCCCGTGCACATGGCCTGTAATCGTACCCCCCCCCCGCCCCCCCCCCCTCCTACGTGCATGCTCTTGCGGAACTCCCCTATCGTATCTGTGAGTCGTCACCTTCGCCACGCTAGCCCACGAGTTCTAAACAGCGTTGAAGCGGCCATTTCGGACTGGAGGTTCAACAAAGCATGCCAGTGTCGAGTACACAAGAAATTAGCGCCTGATCAGCATTCGACAAGTAAAGGTCGACAGAATTTCTGCGGGTAGACCCGATCCAGCATCTCCGTCGCGTAGAGCACGTCTAGCAGTTGAGGATCACTGTTGTCGCACTGCATGACCATTGACCGCACCTAAACTGATCTCCACCTATGCATTTAACGCGAATCTCGTAAATAATACTGGCACGCATGACCAGGTCGACAGTAGCGAGGGCGGTGCAGACTGACTATCTCAGCTCAGTAGCAGTCTGTCCCTCAGTTCAGAGGCCGCAATGCTCACAAGTAAAGTGCACAGCTTCTTCGCCACTCCGTCCGCCGCTTGTCGACGATCTCGCTACAACCCTGACCAAGGCAATGCCCTCTCCCCAATAGGCTCCCCTGTAGTTTGACACTGGCGAGGACCCACGGACAATCGTAGATGGTACAATAAATCACATATACGACGATAGTAGACCAAAAATCGCGTCGCGGACCCTGCTTCTAAGGCTAAGCCACGATAACGCCTGTCCAAAACGTTCTGGCCATTTGAATGCCCCCAGGGCAAACCAAGCAGGTGTGTGCGCCAGAGTTGCCTCGTCGTAGATGAGATGCCATAAATCGTGACGAGGCATCTGTTTACCCTTACAGGTACCGCTGGAAAAATTAAAAACGCCGATGCGGTTGGATTAGCTCGCCTAGTACTATAGTGGCGCTACCTTTCCTGTCAATTCTGGCCGCCTACCATCTGCTTAGATGTTCACGTAGCAGTTTTGGTCTCAATATTTGTTACTAGCATTGCAATCTCACCTCTCACTGGGATCTTCATCCCAGTCTCCATTCATAGCTTCAAGGGGAATTGCAAGCCTTTCCTGGTAACACCGCCGAAAGAAAGCGCGAGCCAATCATAGGAGACTCTAGAAAGTGAAACTCTGACAGGAGTCTCATACTCATGCAGGATACTAGACATGCATTAGAGCGTTACGGCAGAAAGCACAGGGCGCTGGTTAAACGAACTTCCGCGCGAGACGTACGAGGCACGCACGCGGTAGTGTCCACTGCGAGACACTCTCCAAGCAGTTGTAAGAATCAGGCGTTGCGCACGCCTCGATAGCTCTCACGTACCACGAATCGGGCTTTTCAGGCTATTGACAGGAGGCCCGTCGCGCATCGAGAAGGAAGAGACGCACACGTGTCAGCGGACGTGTCGCAGCGTGTACTGTGGTGATCTGGTGCCAAGGTAAATAGATTGTGGGTGAAACTCCAGTTCGGGGGGGGGGCACTCCATTTTTTCTCCAATACTCAAGATAAGGATTAGAGGGCTCACGACACGTAATCGACTCATTTAAAGTAGACTTCTGATAAATATTGGTGTAATGGGTGAGAAACCCTGAAACGTTTTCACATTTCCGCCTGCCATGACCCAAGGGAACGGTCCCTGGACCAGTGACGAAAGCGACACCTCCGGGGACCAGAAAAAGGCGTGGGTGCCTTACAGGGTGCAGGAGCTCCAGGGTGGATCACCTGTGCAGAAAAGTGGATGGGATGTGGGCAGGTAGTGTGGAATGTAGGACATCCACCGGTCCTTATCAAAAGTACGCTCGAAATGAGTCGTTCACACTATATTCATCTTATCCGTAGTGGTTCGATAACCCAAAGAACTGCTCTCTTGTACTACGGATAAGATGGCAATGTGGTGGCCCTCCTCCCCGAACTGGAGTTTCACCTAGGTTGTGTTCTGATATGTACCACATCAAGAGCACGCTCTACGACTTGTCTGTGTCTCTGCTTTCGCGCCACGGATAGGCCTCTCGTTGGGTACACAATTTTTCAAGCATGGAATTGATGGGAATATTTTCCGTCTTCAACAGCGGACTCTCGAATATCAAGAGGCATAAGTAAACCGATTCGTGCTACGGAACTGAAAGAATTTCACGATATCCGACAAGGCTGAGTAGTTCGTTCCGATGGCTCCGTTGCGACGAGGCAAAGTGAGAAGTGTGCGTGAAATCAGCAACAGAGCCATGGGAACGAAATGATCAGCGGTCGGGAAGCGCATTATGGACGGTCATTCGTCATACAAAGTTTCGGATCTGCTCGACGCATTCGGCAAACGTCGTGCCTTGGTCGCAGTAGAGGTCCGACACATCCTCCTTGTCTTGAGACAGCCGAATCTGAGCATTTTCTCGTCTCATATTCAACAAACAACTATACATTTCGAAAACAAACAGACGAAAACGGTAAGGTGGAGGGTGGACGTGAATGAGGAAGCTTGCCGACGTTTTCGAGCAAGCTGTCCACATCAAGGTAGGAGTGGTAAGGAAGACGGAAGGAAAGTGAAATCGAGGTATGTAATCGAGGAATAACGTCGTCATCGTCAAGGAAAGTAACCTGCTGTGTTTGCGGCACTTCGAGTTCGAGTAGATCCATGTTGTTGTAGTTCTGCTTGTGTGACCTCGTGAGTGGATCCTTAAACAGTGTTTCTCGCAAGAGGAAATCCTCGTTTCACATTAGGAACTCACAATTGGTCGCAATTGTGGATGGAACATGATGAAGCCGTTCTGATCGAGCATGAAAAAGTAGCTTCGTCCGCCAATCTGAAGATAGATGAAGCTATAGCTAGGGATCCATACCGTAAAAACGAAAGCTCAAACAAACGACAGGGCGCATGGCTCTGAAATTTTGTGATCTGCATTAAACGCGAGCAAGTAAGTCGCGCAAGGGTGCCTCGGTACATGGTCACCCGTCACATTCACACTTTTCGACAATTTTGTGACCACGTTCCCTTTAGGGGTTCGAGGGAGGTCTCGATGCGCCTCCACCTCCACCACGACGCTCCCCGACACGATACCCCTTTACCCTTCTTTGACCACCGTCCTCGGCATCATGGCTGTTTCTTTGCTATACAATTCTGAGCTCAGTTCACACTCGACCGCAACTCCCTCCCATCTTCCCGCCTCGCTCGAATAGTGCGAGCGGATGGTAGAGTCTGCCGTGGTAACTATTTATAAACACGTCCGCTTTTACAATTGGAACATATCAACACTAGCCGCAATTGTGAAGGAGATCCATTGACGTTAGCTTTACTCAGAGCATTATTCACCAAATTCAAGCTAAAAATCTTCACCGCTCAAAGCGAGGTGGTATATTTGATTCGAATTTTGAAGGCTAAGAAATCAGCCTAGTTAAGGGAAACAAGGCTCCTAAAGGAACGAGTGTGGCACTTCTTCAGCGAGTGTGGCCGAACCATTACTGCTCTTTCAGTCGCTCAAACCGTTCGTACGTCTGCCTGCCTTCTGAGTGACTGGCTTAGCAGCTGCTCACTGGCAGAATAGTGGTCCATTTCGCGGTTTTCAGGCAGTCTTCATCGCTTTTTTTCTTTACCAGTGCACCATTTGGCAGCCCAATTTTCACCAGCAGTGGGTGTTGAAATTATCGCACCATTTGCCTTTTCAATGCACTCATAAAAATCCAGTCATTCGCAATATTTGAGGCGGCGAATCGTTAGATCGTAATGTAACTCTTGCAATAAGTCTTTAGTCTTTTCCCTCCCTTCCTTATGTACGCGCCAGTAAAGAGATGGGATATAAAAAGGTAACATTTTTGCTTGTCCGACCGATGGCTTTTCGGATGCAACCTTCGATCCCTTCCATAACGATTCAGACCAGACAGAAGAACGGGGAGGGGGCATACATAGCGATAAGCAAGTCAATTCCATCCTCTGAGAAAAAATTGCTACCATTTGGCCTCCTTGTAATGAAATGCCTAGCCGCTCAGTTACTGGATCTTGGGCTTGGACCATGTGCCAGATAGAAAGCGCCACTTGCCACAACACGACTCCCATCCAAGAGATATGAGGGATTACTGTCAGAGTCGAATGGCATAAGGTGGCCACTCAAACCTTAAATACAGAAAGTTGCCTACATTGCTGGGATGAGCTTGCTGATTGAGCTCAGTGAGCGGAGTGTTAACGGCGGCCACTCCCATGAATGTTCCGTTGACAATCACCGGGAACGAGACAGTGGTGACGAACATCCGTCCTCGGGCTTCAGTTTTTTGAAGACGGATTTTCTGGAAGAGGACCACATTCTACTCTAATAGTGAAGAAAAAATATGACTATCTTGAACTCACTCGACGAGCTGCCATCTTGTTCATAATCGCGTACTGAAAAGTGATTACATTAAAAAGTGAAGATTCAATACGAAATACACTTCTCAGCGAAAAAGGTTTTCAGGGGCACCTTGACTTCCACTGTCTTGACCTACTACGACTCGCCAAATTTAACCCATTCGCGACCGCGCAGGATTGCGCAATAGCAGCAGCGTCAGGAGATTTTTCTTCAATAAAATTCGAGTGGAGGGAGATTTCCTCTGCCCAGGGCTGGCGTAGATGAGCGAGGGTATGAAGATTCTTTTCATGGAAGAAAACTTTCCAAATTCCATTTCAAGCCCTGCAGCCACAGTAATACCATTGTCCCGAGTGAGAGCTTTGTCAGCCACCGGTGGCTGACATTGTCACGAATGGGTTAAATTGCTTATTATTTTTGTTCTCATTATTTGTTTCTTATTATCTCTCCTCATCTAATCTCTATCCTCTTATTTGCACTGTTTCATTTAGGTATGTACATATTAATGGAGCCTTTTTAGATAGGAGCAAAACACTGTCTCACTAAAAGGCGACCTTACCGATTGATTTGTGATGGGCACCGGTTCGGCGAACGTTTCTGGACGAGGAAGATACTGAAACAAATTTATATTTATATTTATATCTAGTTAGTGGTCAGGAATAGTGACTGGATTTCGTAACGAGATCTAGACCAAAGTCCGAAAAGTGCAAATAATGAAGAGAGGAAGATGAAGTCAACTGACATGCAGTCGAAACCGAATTCTGCTTCATTGCTCTGCCGAGCACTTTGTAAAAATTCAAAAACGAGTTTGAATCAGGTGAATACTTCAACAGGTGACTCAGGTCGAGATTCCCTAATGGAAATCCGGCTGCCATGCCACTCGACTAATGTAGGAGTCCCAGAATTTTTGATGTAAAAAACACGAAGATAGCGAAAGGCAGCCATATAAAAATAAAGTAAGACAGAAAGCACGAACCAATCTTTCGCGATATACGCCACTCCAAAGGGCATCGTCCACCTGAATGTCGGCAGCATTCTGACCGATTGGCCGCGACATTGTACGGATGTAGTGCTGGAAACGTTTTTACTTATGGACCAGTACTAATTTACTTATACACTTCTGTTGGTGTGTCCACTACACGGAAGCCAGAAGGGCAGAAGTGGTGGCAAGTAGCACCGCTTATCACGTAAGCGGTTCGGGAATCCAACTCTGGACAGTGCGATCCAGAAATTGATCCCTCCGGGTTGCTCAGGTGGCACCAGGCTTTCCTGGAAGGATGAGTAACACTGACTGGGCATCAGCTGGCCCCCGCTGGTCACTGTATAGGCCAAATTGATCTTTTCCTGGTCACCGGGCCAATTGGACCCCGAATCTTAATTGCGAATATCTATAACCTAAATATCCATAACATCTCCGAGCAAGACATTTTCAATCGAAAAAAATTGTTACAGTCAGCGCTTCTTTGCCGCAAGAGCAAGTTCGGTTTACGCAGATTGCTAAAGGTGCTGGAGTGCTAGAGGTCATGAATTCCACCAGCATATTCAGTTTCCGAAGCGCTTCCCAGTGAAGAGGCTATCTACTCGGTTGAAAGAGTGACAGTCGGTGGGTAAGAGCTATGGTGAGCAAGATGGTCTATGGCAAGTTTTTGTTGCCCAGCTAGATCGAAATGCGCAGAAATGGATTGTGCGATGTGTGGCCGAGCTGATATTTCGTGGAAAACAGGCCCAGTTGTACATTTCTTCGAACGATCTAACTCCTTCATATCTGAGAACCAAAATTCCCTTACACCCAAATAAGAAGGGAACAGTTAAACAGTTCTATGCAAATTCTGACATATTTTTGATGGTCATCGCCGCTGCATTTGGCCGCAGTTGGCCTTGCGAAAGCTTCACAACAATGCTCTGTTATGAGCAAAACTTCCGCCACAGGTGGGACTTGGGCACGTAAGGTGTTGATTTTTACAACGCTGCAAGGTTCTATGTACGTGTGTGTTTATACGGTAGGGTGAGGGTCCGTGTGAGGTGGACGTTTTGTTCATATTCCAGCCTTCTTGTGAAGAAGTATGCAAGCTTAATTTGATCAAAGCTCTAATAATTTTCGGGGCCTTATAGACGCCCCTGCCATTATTAAGAAAGCCGAATGAATCATAGCTGCACATCATTATTGTGTAGGCCGTTTCTTTGCAGCCTAATGATGTGGAAGAAGACAAATGGCCGAACTTACCCGTCGTTACTTTGGAAAAGTGGTGAAAATTGTTTTGGCACAGAAGAGACAAGATTTTTAGCTCGTGCAGGGAACCCGCCCCGAAAGGGACATGCAGAGTAATGACAATGTGCTTGCAATGAATTCCAAATAAGGCTATATAGAAACTGTCTCCTGAACAGTCCCACTACGATTCCGAACTAGCGTAGAGCATCCCAAAAAGGGAATGACTAACGCTACACTTTTTTCTCTACGTTCGTTATCCCCCACGCAATATCGCTTCATTCCTTAATTCTTCGTTATTGCCTTCCCGTCTTAACTGCAGGGAGGGACCAAATCCTCCAGGTGAAAGAAGTGAGCCGCTCAAAAATGACTAGAGTAGACAAATTGTACCTGCACTTTATCCTCGACATCAGCCATGTTCTGTACGTGTACCATGTGTAGCCCCGATTGGTGCAGGCCATGGTCTTGACTTGCTCAAAGTCGATGGCTTCCTCGCCGATCAAAAATGAGAAGAACCGCACCTGAACTTTGGAAAATGTCGGTAACTGTCAAAAATATGCTTCTGAGGCAATTCTTCTGGTTTTTAAAAGTGGAGTTCGAGTATCAGTATATAGTACTTTTAGGGCAAAACTACAAAAGTAAGCATTGAAGTGATAGCTTCTTACTTATTTATTTTCGCAGGGGTATACGCACAGAAGCATATGTCCCTGAGATCTAGTATGGTCTCTCGCATGGCCGATCGGTGCGATATTGTCCTGGTGGGCCATCGGCGTCGTCTCGTGTCTGAGTCTCTGGCCGTTCAGGAAAAAGAGCGTTAATGTTGAAGAGGGCAGCAGCGACAAAAGTCGTATGAATGCGCAAATCAACGGGCAAGGAAGGATCCCAATCTTTTCCAGGCCATTTTTTCTCGTTTTTTCCTCTCTTCGTGCATCACTGACCATCCCTAACTTAATTTCCAATCGGCGACACTCCACCGTAAAATCGCGGCCATCAAACTTGATGATTGGTCATTGTCGGAAAATTTAATCAGTTTTCATTTAGGAGAATTTCAGGTCAGCAGTGGAAGATACTGCTCCCATTACACTGTCTCTATCTCTATGATGTTCGAATGGGTTTGAAGTTTGTCAGAAGCTTTGTACCATAAGGAAGACGTATTGAATCCTATTATTTGTTTCCGGTTTTAAATATCGGAAGACGCGAAAAATCTCACCCAATAAACCTTAAGTATTTCTAATAGTGACACGAGCGAACTCTCTCTGCCTTTACCTTTTTGTCTTTGTTATAAAGATCGAAGATCTCTTTATAGACATTAGGGGCTCCGTCGGTGATGAGCATGATGACGTTCTCGCACCCCTGATCCGGTCGACCATGATGTGAGCTGATCTGGAAAAGATCAGCCTCGGCAATTTATTTCAGTTTCTGCGTTCGGCGGAGAACACTCCATTCCAGTGCTTCGAAGAAAGTGATGACGATAGATAGGATAGACACAATAGCGCACACAGCGGTACGTGGCTCGGGCGGCTGCGCGGGTGGGCCACATCGAGGACACATACGACAAACACTAACGTACATGCGAAATTGGTACATGCAAAGAAAGAAATGAGCATCAGGTAGGGGGAAAAAGAATGGGCCTACGTAGCCGCAAAACAGGAAGGACAGGATCGGCTGAGCCCATAAAAGCGTCAAACACGCCATGGAGCAGGCAATACTTGCGAGCAGCTTTAGAAAAATGCGGAAATCAAAATGCAGGATATCGGACATTCAGCTTTCAGCCTATTTTTGTAATAATATTACTATTTCATTGAAGATCTCAAGTTTGTTGCGAATTTTAGTTATCACTATTCTGGAAACTTAGATCAAAGAGGCGGGGTCGTTTTTAGAGTTAGCGAAAGTTCAAAGAGTGAGAAGGGGCAAGACTCAAATGAAAGTTGAAGGGAGGGGGTCGTGGTTGCGGAATAGGGGGCGGTTGTTCTCCGGATTTATTCACCCTTCCCTCCCACTCCCGCCTCAGCCCTCTCATTGTCGGTCCCCTCTCACCCACCTCACTCGACGATCATTTCGGGAAAAATAAGTGGGCGGGGTTGAAGCACATCAGAATTAAATATTATAGAGACAGCCATGATGGTGAGGGTAGTGGTCGGGAGTGGGGAGGGGAGGAAGGGTGTCGTATGGGGACCCTTCCTTCAAGGGTGATGGTGGTTGTGAGGGATGCATTGGGACCTGCTGGTGTAAGGGCTGGGGTAAGGTCATGAAGATTATGAAAAAGTGCCAGAGCTAGAGTTAACCTCGTTTGTGAGCTCAGAACAACGTAGCCTATTTTACAGTTGTATCCACCTTCTCTGTTAGCTGTGTCTGAGACTTCTGGGTATGTCGAGTAACTCCGAAAAAGAATGGCTGTTTTTGGACCATCAGTGAACCGAATACCAGGAATTCTTGAAATTATTGAGAGTGAGCACTGATTTTAGCGCAAACGCCACCCGTGCAAGTCATTCTCGAACAGCGGCTTCCAAAAACACTAGCCCATCATCCACGACAGGTTCATCCGTAACCATTAATCAGCGATTATTATCCCACTATCCATCCTGTGCCACACTACGAGCATCGTTGTAGTCATTAACATAGAAAGTCGCAAATATCATAAGAAGGTGATATTAAAGAGAGAGAAGCCACCGATACTAAAGATCAACTTTAAGAAAGTTGAAAAATTTGTTTTAAAACGGATCTTCTCGTGTAGTGTTTGCAGCTATGACCACCAATTCTATCCTACCCGAAAAGTGCAATATTCGCTTGAAACTGGGATTAGGCTTTGTCTTGGGTGATTCATGCACGAGGTCTCAAATTCGTTCAGGATTTTCATGCTAGTGCGGACGAACTGCCATGCAACTAGCTTGTCACTGTCACCACTTACTGCCTCGATATATTCTGGATCGGCGGAAAGCACGTGTTCGGGGAATACGACGTGGATCCGTTCCTCGGTAGCGTTCGGCTCCATCAGCGCCATCTCTTCACGAGTGTGCAGCTCGTAGTGGCCAGGCAGCTAAGACAAGCAGTGACAAGTAACGCAGCAGCCGCGACGCAACATTTGTGCCAGTTGCGCACGTCACGCTCGCGAGCCGGTTGCGTCGCGGAGGCTGCGCTGTGTCGGCGAAAGCAACAAAAAGAACAAGTGGGCAGCTGAAACAGACGTGACAAAAGCTTTCAGCCTGTCACTGATAAAGCACTACAAGCAACTGGATGGCACAAGAAAAAGTGCGACAGCGCCTCCGTTCTCTGCATTTTAGCCGTTAGCCCAAGAACGAAATTCAGCGACACGGGTAGCCGCAGAGACCGCATATGTCAGCGAGACGCGAGACAAGACACATACGGGTTGCTGGACATTGCCACAAATTAAGTTCTGTAGACTGTTAATAAAAAGTAGTTTGATGCCAAATTCTGGGAGAAGTCACAGTAACAAATATTATCTAACTGTATCAATAAATGCTTCAAATAAGTTCTGTAACTGTAATAAGTATTTGATGCCATTTGGAGGTCAGTACAAATTCTTCTAAACTTTCTATGTTCAATGATGAAACCAGGGAAAGTGGTCGTACTCACATTCAGCAGAGTGGTGAAAGCGTGTGGTAGCGCCTTTTCGTACTCAGCTTTCCCTTCACTGGAGACGTTGTTCATTTTGTTGCGAAGGAGCTGGAACAAAGTAATCGCAACTTCCAGAAGTTACTCCTAACAGTTATCGATCTTATCACGGTACAATTAAGAATCAGGGTGAACCATTTCTGCTGCTTAGAATAAAGTTTGGATAGTAGTTCATTGGATGTTCTCCCTCCTTCAGACTCGAAAGGAGCCGACCCAGAAACGTCAAGCGAAACATTGCTGCCGAGTCTCGGGTACAGGCCCAATTTGGAACCAATCTTGTACTGAGAGGAGTGATCGCCTCCAGCAGGATTATTTCAATTGTTGGAGGAAGACATGCTGCCACCTTTATGCCTTTCTACATAATTAGCTCGCTCTCGCTCAGTAATACACATCTCAGTAGAAGTAGAAAAAATTGTTCGAAAGTATGTTAAATCAAAGCTAATAGAAACCTTCTTATTCCGCATCGTCGCCTGTAGAAGACCGTTCTTTCCATTGCAGTCATCAAGGAAGTACGACGTCTTTGAGAACTGGAAGAGCATGAATTATCAAAGACCTCAAGTAAGCAATTCCTATTACCTTGCTGCCTTGAAAAAGAAGTCAACAACTTTACGTTAATAAGAAGGTCCAAAATCTCATTCATTTGAAGCAACACTGATCAAGGAAGCCAGTAAAATGAAGTAAGAGCAATTCGTGAATTCTGAGTGATGTGGAGTGGTGATGAACTTTTGCCCAGGTTTCGAGGCAATAAGAGGTAAGAGGCGCATGTGCAATAATATGTAAGTGCAAGTTATGAGTGTCTTGAACTAAAGTTTTCAACCAATGTAACCGCTGAGGTTGGACTCACTTAAGCTGTATGGTTCCTAGCCTGGGAAGTTTCAAGGATCAGAATGGGGTTAGGTTAAAGCCTGAACGTTAGAGAACTTAAACAGCTTACGTTTGATCTCAAATTTAACGCCTGCTGTACTGTAGCAATTCTATGGACCTGCTTTTGATCTCAACAATTTTAATTTAGCCTAAGCCGTCAAATTTGAAAAGCGTGAGGCGACTTCAGCGAAATGAATCAGAAGTCTCCTGATGCACGTTTTGACATCACACCGAGGAGATAGTAGTGGGAGTTGCAGCTATTCTTTTAGTGAAGCACGGCCTCTCCTGCTCCATGCTGTTACCGGAATTTCTCGCCGACCGCATGAGGTTTGCTGCTTGGCAACTGGAGTTCTTACCCACCAATCGGGGGGGGGGGGCTAGAAGCTTCCGCTCCTTATTTGTAACAGTTATGGTTTGAGGGCGGAAGTGGTGTAGTGGCAAGTGGCACGCTTACCACGCGAGCGGTCCGGGGATCAAATCCTGGGTCGTGAGTCGCCCGGGCCAACCAAGCCTTCCATCCCTCCGGGGTCGGTTAATTGGTACCAGACTTGTCTGGGAGGATAAAAAACACTGACTTGTACATCGGCTGGCCCC